AACAGCTCTCAGATTGCAATAATTTCGAGTTAAAGATGATGTCCACTCCGTTCTGCGCATCAGTTCTGCTTATAACAAAGGGGGACCCCCATATATAAACATTGCCCAAATTTTGCATCCTTCGAACTTTTTTGAATTGAAACGTATAGTTTATACTGTTCATTTACAAGTGTAGCGAACCAGAAAAGTGTTAGATATTCAGTTAGTCATGGGCGTACCGGAAGGAAAAAATTAGGGGGGCGGAAAGAAAATTGCCCGACTTTTCGGGATTTTGCCCGACTAGTACCAAAAAATTTTTTCCGGAAAATTTTTTTTGGCGACCTCCCCCTATAAGTGGATTATATGCAAATTAGCATACAAGCAGTGGCCATTTTGTCGCCATTTTCTGGTAATGTTTACTTAATGCTTTGCTTTGCTCTGCTTTGGTTTGCCTTGCTTTGTATCTGCTTTACTTTGTTCTGCTCTGTTTTATCTTGCTTTGATCGCCAAAGCACGCGGATTTAACTCACGTGTGAGCGCCCACTAGTTGCTATGACTTGTTAAATATAGGCTGATACCTAAAACACTTATCTGTCAAGCCTCAGGGATCCTTGCTTGTACCTATAGCATGCAAGCAGAACAAGGGATATAATTTGTAGTATTTGCATACATTGATATCGGTTTACAGCTTCCACTGGCTAGTAAAATTTAAAAAAAATAATTACATGAACTAAAATGCCAAAATTAATTAACCGAGCTTTCGGACAATCAACATCGTCAAGCGGTCAAGGTCAAATGTCTATAAATCTACTTGCCACGCCATTTATGTTCCGCTCATAAAAATTAATATTTATGCTAATTGAAAAAGCTAGAATAAAATAGTATAAAGGAAGTTGAAAACAGATCACCCGTTCTATAATTGTGTATTTAGACCAATTAATTAAAGTCCAGTAAAGAAAGGCTATCACAGGGGCTATTACTGAATTGTATAGTCAGATAAAAGCAGCAGGTACTATTCAGGAGAATTCTCACTCTATATCTATGTCCGCAAATGCAGCTTTCGTTTTTCCCATGCTTCTTCCCATTTTCTTTCATATTTCCGACACTCTTTCAGCAATAGTACAATTATTAGCCTTTTATAGCCTTTTTAATTGGATTCAGTTTAATTAGTCCTGAATAGAGCATTCACGTAACACGGACGATTTTATACAATTTATACAACTTCCATTTTATATAATTTTAACTTGCTTTTTTAATTAGGATATTTTTGTTGTTTATTTGCCACCTAAGGAACAGAATGTTATTAGATTGGTAGTAAAAATTTTCCGGCTTGTAAAAATAGGCTTTACACATTTTACGCTCTGACGATTTACGCTAAGACTGAAAACTCAGTTAATTTTATTCCCATGTCCAGGCTAGGGTGGAAATTAGTAGGATAGATAAGTTTACACGCAATATACGAGGTGTATAGGATAATACGTAGGAGACTCATATAGCACTTAATGTGTACTACTCAGCTTTTCTGTTTTACTGAAGGACGTTCTCCTATCATTCGTCAGTCAAAAAGTGTGGCCAAAAATATGGCGGATTTTTACCTTATTTCCCCTGGCAATTGCCACTGAAAATAAGGCTCATTTGAGCACCCTACAATTTATTATTAAAGAGTAGCTTCTATTATATCAGAGTAGAGGAAGATCTATTTTTAGTTAGAGTTATTATGAATTTGAATGATTTACTTCACCGGCACTTGTAAGTTCACAAGTTCAGTTTTAGAGAAACGCCCTAATTTGCACTCGAAATGCTGTTTTTACTTAACCCTCTTTTAGGTTGGGGTTTGGGTTAGGGTTAGAGTTGATGTTTGGAATAGGGTTAGTGTTAGTAAGTATCTGACTCAGGAGTCATTTTAAGTTGCCATATTTTACTATTATAAACTGATTGAAAATGCTGCTTTCGTTTTCTGGATGATGGCTCGTTAATATTATTTTTTTTATTTATTCAAAACTTTAAAGCATTTGGCATTTTCAAGGACGAATTTGAGTATTTGTGAATATAAATCCTTTTACTTCGATTTTATACAGGCACATATGCAACCTCCTGCCATACTCTATACAATCCCAGCAAAACTGTACATTTTTAGCATGAAAAATTTTTACATTCTTACATTCATTAAAAAATATCTCCTATAGTTGTAAAATGTTCTATTACACCAGGGATGGATATAACTTGATCTGGTGTGAGGGCCGGGTTGCTGAGCCAGGGCTCATGGTCATAAAGCAGGCCATGGCATCCAGGGTCAGAAATTCACTTTTTCCGGAGGCAAAGCCTCCGACATTTCCGACAAAACTTTCAAATTTCCGACCGAACTCCGCACTCGGAAAGGCTGTTTTTAGCCCTCTTTTAGGTCAAAATTTCCGAAAATTAGTCATTTTCCCAGATGGTTTCCGAGATTTCCGCTACTGTGACCATCAATGGACCATTTGCATTATAGACTAAATTTTGATCTAGACAAAAATTTCATCTCAACTTGAAAGAGCATCACAAAATTAGTAATATTCCAAAGTTTCGTTGCGAAATGTTGTAAAATGCGGATAATATAGCCTTGGGAAGTTTGCCGTTTTTCAGTCATTTTGTATTACGCACGGGAAATTGACAGCCCAATCGGGTGTTGGGGCATCGATTTCCCGTTTGTAATACAAAATGACTGAAAATTGCAAATTTCGCAAGGCTATATTATCCGCATTTTACAACATTTCGCAACGAAACTTTGGAATTTTACTAATTTTGTGATGCTCTTTCAAGTTGTGATGAAATTTTTGTCTAAATCAAAATTTAGTCAATAATGCAAATGGTCCATTGATGAAGGATACATCAATTGAGGGTCACATACATAGGTGTACAGAGAAGAGCGTCAAAATTCATCCTGAACCTTCCCTACTTGTGCGACAAGTCCTACCGCGACAGGCTGATCAGTTTGGAACTGATACCACTATCATACTGGCACGAGTATATGGATCTTTTGTTTTTCTTTCAAGCTGTAAACGGTCTGATCGACGTATCTAAAGATGTTCTCCCTCAACCTATTATTCCCACCCGAGTTACCCGATCATCCCGTACCACTGAGTTGTTGTTCCGTCCACAAAAATGCAGAACTACAAATGTGTGTATGGCTCGGTGTATGGGATAAAAACCTCGTCCAATCCCGGACTCACCTCCCTGCAAGTACGTTTGTTATATGACTGTATGTATTGTACTGTACTAAGCTATATATATATAGTGTACTGTCTTGCGTTAGATTGCATCGTTTTGTTTTGTTTTGTTTTGTTTTGTTTTGTTTTGTTTTGTTTTGTTTTGTTTTGTTTTGTTTTGTTTTGTTTTGTTTTGTTTTGTTTTGTTTTGTTTTTGTATTGTTTTTGTATTGTTTTTGTATCGTTTTTGTATTGTTTTTGTATTGTTTTTGTATTGTATTGTATTGTATTGTGTTGTGTTGTGTTGTGTTGTGTTGTGTTGTGTTGTGTTGTGTTGTGTTGTGTCGTGTCGTGTCGTGTCGTGTTGTGTTGTGTTGTGTTGTGTTGTGTTGTGTTGTGTTGTGTTGTATTATATTGTATTGTATTGTATTGTATTGTATACATGTCATCGTGTAAAATTATTAAATGGCGAAATTGTATAAATAAATAAATAAATAAATAAATAAATAAATAAATAGATACATCATCACCAAGGAAACCAGATCTAGACAGGCTGAAGGAGCCCAGACAAGCTCAAGGAGCCAAGCATGCCAACATCGTTGGAAAACAAAGTTTCCTATATGGTTATAAAGACTCAATATTTATTTTTTGTTTTATAATTGCCTAGGATTCACCCAGAAATTCCCTACCTCCAATAAGCCGAAGTAAATCCATCCCTCTACTAAACAAAAGAATACTTTCTCAGGTTTCCCTTTACAGCTCTGGGTTAACCATGGACGTATCTTTGTTATAGATCTTTGTGATATTAGTATATTACTTTTACTACTTTGAAGATATGATTATCAGACAACGTCGAACTCATTCTGTCAGTGCAAGGATGACAGATATTTGTAGATTGTGGAGTATTTTGCACATTCTATAAACTTTTTCTAATATTCACATAATAATGGATTGTGTAGTAATCAACAATCCGTGATTTAATAAATATTCATTTTCATCATGTTTCATTTCTTGTTTTCTTTGATCACTGCAAGAAATTAAAAGATCTTAGAAAATTTGACATTTTAGTTGCAAATTTATTATGATACTCCGATACCAATACCGATATTAACAACAATTCATGCGCATGCGCTCTGCTCGCAAGAAGCACGGAGGACAAGTGTATTGGAAGTCACAACCACCGAAGTTGGCCTTGTTTTGGAAGTCGTGAGAATTGTAAGATAATTAAACTCATTCATCGTTTTTATGATAAACACGTAAACTATTTGTTTATTAGCATCGCCTGAGACATGTTTTTATTTTTTCATGTCGGAATTTTAACTCAGCCGCCGTTTCGTATACCGCACATTTTCGGTGACGATTATTGTGTTCTATACTTTATCGTGATAACTCAACGCTTTAAAATTCCCGGTAGCAAATGAGAACGCAAGTTGGCTTCGGACATATACGCTTCGTCTTTGCGGCTTATATTTTCATCAACATGAAGACTACGAGGATGTCCTCTTTCAAAATAAGAATATGGTACACTCCATCAAAATAATCAAAAGTCAAAGCACACAAGATATAGGCTGCTATGGAATCAACAATTACAAAGTATCGCTCAGCTGCTTTGATAACAAGGGGTACATCCTCGAAGACGGGAAGATGGGAAATGCGATAATGAGAATAAGAGACGCGCTCTTAGGAATGTGTATAAGGGATGAGTACGTCATACAGACACCACACAAATGAGTACGAATACAATTGGAAAAAACAACTCAGTATAAAAAGTACCATTCTCCATTCGAGAAGACCTGTCACAATGGCAATACACGTACCTATGAATACACCCAGATATGACAATGCGGATGACACCCAGATATGACAATGACAGGAGACGCAGCTATGACAATTAATTTCTGACTGAGCTATTCGTTTCTGATTCAGTAATTTTCTAGCAAAACCAAACCTCAGTGACCCAACAAGGGGACTGTATAATAAATACATGTCACATGTGTCTCTGTAACTTGATTAGGGGAACATTTACCACTTGAGAAAATAAATTATGAGGACTAATTTTAGAAGAAAACGTTCTATTTAATCTATTCAAGTTGATTATTTATGTATACTTTTCGAGATTACAATATTAATCTTAGATCGCTCGACAGAGATTTTTTACAACGAAGTGAGTGCCACGTTAAACTACATTGTGTCGCCAAAGATTGCCAAGATATATCAATAATTATTTGCTTACAATTTAACTGCAATACAAATAATGATCGACTATCACGGACAACTGCATCTATACAAAATCTTTTTTTTGATAAATCGTCATTATAAAAAAATATTGTCAGGTAATTAATCAAACGACGGCAACATATGCCCCTTTTGCGGATGCAGGATACCACTTGTTTTGAGATCCACCCCAACCCATTCTGCGGTACCATTCGTAGTCGTATTCTGTATTCCAGCCACATTTGGTTCTTATATTCATCCACAATCCAACAGTCCGACATCTTTTATACTGGCGTTTTCTTTCTTTGACCTTGGTTACCACAACTCCGTGACCCACTTTCGACCCGTCGCTGCTGTAGTACCAAATAGAATTTAGGACCGGATAATTTTGTTTGACATAGTTGCTCACTTGTTGCTTGATGTTGGACAAAGATAAAGAGATCACTCTTCCTGATCCTTGACGTTGACGAAACCATTCTTCCACATTAACATAATTTTTAACCGGAGTTGATCCAATCTCACCACGGCAATATGTGCCAAGAGGAACACGCAGAGATTCAACGTATCTTTTCGCTTGCCAGTTAAGATATCCTGGTGCCTTGTATGACGCATATCCAGAATTACCATATTTTCCACGCCAGTGACTGGTACTGTATCTATATCCGTATGTATGTGCTACTCTGTCGTAATAAGCAAAAATCTGAGCCCAAGCAACTGGCGAACAACCGCTCTGACAACCTCCACAGCACTCGTGTTGATCATAATCGGGCATAAGGTATTCATAAGGAATGCTGTATTCTTTGAAACCACTCCAGCTTGATCTTTTGTTCCGCTTATGACTTAAAATGATTGTGTAGCGTCGGATAACAACAAACTTCCCAGCAACAATAAGTTTTATGTAAAAGTCGATATTTCTGGTTTTAATTTGTCTCTTGAGAGATTCATAGTCATTAGTCACGTCCATTTTAATGTAATTTAAATTGTCCAAATTGTTTTTCTTGCGCAGAATGCTGGAAACATTAACTTCACCCCTTTCTGAACAAATATTCCCAATGAGAAGACATAACGTTGCTAACGTCTTTTTCGAATGAGAAGACTTAATTTGCAAATGTGCTTTTATTTCAACTTTCGATACATCTGAAGTTCCAATTGGTATATCCTGTGATTCGCCGAATGTCAATACTTTGTATATAGTTTTTCTCTGATGAACTATAGGAGGTATATTTGAGCTGTTAATGCTCATTTCTTTCCATTCGTTAGAAGAACGAATTTCCTTGGCAAGATTTCCCCATTCTTCTTTGAAGTCCTTTAAGCTCTCGCCAATATCTTGAGGTAACGTCGTAATGTTGACGTGCTACGTAATTTGGAAAAAACAAAAAAGAAAGGTATTAAATAAATTAACATTACCACTGTTTATCAAATGATGCTAGCTGGTTTTCAGTTACTTATATTTAATTTAGTACACACAATAATAAATAACAGCAGCTGATCCAAATTTTAGCACAATTTCATCACCACAGTAGTTGGCAAGAGATATTCTCGGTTACACCTTCGAACTCCGTTCTCATCTCAAAATACCAAAGAAAAAATGGCACCATCCCCACGGTAAGTTATGTTACTGTAGGTGTTATTTTACTGTATAACCAATCAAAATCAATTAGCCATGCAGTTCTAGAGAGCGCTGCTACGGTATTACAAGCGTAATACAGTCTGTAACACAAGCGAGCGTGGGGTAGGTAATCTTGTTTTGAAATTTTCCACTTGATCGAGGTGATCAAAACTGAAAGGAGTTTCTATAAAAAAGTTCAACTTTATAAGGCCAAACAAGCATTCGTACTATAGATTAGTCACCATTTCGTTGATACCGTGGTTAAGTTTGTTACGAATGTCATATTTAAAGAAAAAGAGTGAAGATAAGACAGCTTTCATTTATATACCAGGAGAAAGGGAAATTCTGCGAAATATTACCCTCAGTGATGTTTATCACCGAGAGTAATATTTGGCCGAATCTCCCAGGCGGAGGACGGTCTATATAAATGATATATTATCCCGGAAAGTAAAAGCTTCAATTTTGAAAATATAAAACTTGCAACATACCTTCGTGAATATGTTTATTTTTTATTAACGCAAGTATTTCTCTGACTCACTTTAATTTCTTTCGAATCACATATCGTTTGGAATATTGATGATAAAATATAGTTACCGACTCGGAAAATAAACATTTTAATCGTTCTGGCTTTCGACTAAGATTCAGTCATCATCAGGATGATGACTGAATCTTAAGGCTGATTTCCAATGTTGCGTTTTTCATAGGTACGTATACGCACGTAAAACTTTAAATCCGTTTAAATGTTACTTATGAAATTACCAAATAAATAAAGCAACAGAATTTAGTGTTCCACAAGTTTTAGTATGCATTTGTTAATTTATTTGTAAAATATTTAAAAAATAGAAGGACTCAAAGTTTTACGTGCGTGTACGTGCGTACGAAAAACGCAACAGTGGAAATCAGCCTTTAGTCGAAAGCTAGAACGATTAAAATGTTTATTTTCGGAGTTACCGTTGTTTTATATTTTATTGAAATACTCAGTGGTTACCGACAACTTCCCGTAATTATTGATGATAACATTTTTCAACTTGCTTCAAAATTTAAAAAAAAGAGTTTAAAAACTTATTAATTCATGATATTTATCACTCCTTAGTATATCTTGTCAGCCATCTTGTTTGCGTGATCGCTGCGCGTGGTTTACGCGAATCATATCACCCGGGTGACATGATCAAATCACCCCATGTGATATAATTGAAATCACCCGCTGCGTCAAATCATAGCCTATCGAAGGGGAGATGGCTGTGAAACTCATTAGAATAACAATATAACTCATTATCTATGTTAACGTTCATTCATACATCTGGTCCTTTCACCTTTTGCCAAATCCACCAGTAGCAATTTCCAGTTTCTCTATTATTCGAGTCACGGATAGGTGATTTTCCTAAAACTTTGCAATTGGTTAGTTGGGTAAAAATACAATACACACGTGACGGTGAAGGACCAGATTTATGAATAAACGTTGACTAACATAGATAATGAGTTATATTGTTATTCTAATGAGTTTGACAGCCATCTCCCCTTCGATAGGCTATGGTCAAATACGACGATGTAAGGCGTGACAGCCGTTCCGCACGTTGCAACCAATAATCTATTAATAGTTTTGTTTGTGGAAACACCACGTAAATTTATTACTGCAATAAATAATTAATATTTAATTTATTGCAGTAATAAATTTACGTGGTGTTTCCACAAACAAAACTATTATTCTTTATCACCATGCAAACATACAAAGAACAATAATCTATTGTATGTAATTATAAACCGATTGTATGCAATAACTTATTGCATCAATGAACCTAACCCTAATCTAACCCCTTCTCTAACCCCTAATCCTAATGTAATGTTAATCTAAACCTTATCTAATCTTAATCCGACACTAATCTAAACTTTTAAATATACTTTTCGTTGACAATATGTAAAGAAGCTAAGTGTATGGTTCTGTGCAACCATACTCCTCAAAATTTTAGTTAACCCAAAAAGACTGGGAAAAAAATTTAAGGACGTACAGTATATTTCAAAAGTTATGGGCAGAACCTTTTTGAAAACTTACTGTTGTTAGTGTTTTTAAATCCATTGTTGAAGCAACAGCTTCTCCTGCATCGTCTTCACAAATTGTTGTACCATCAGCATTCAGACGAAAAAACTTGTCACAAATTTTGTTCATATTAGCAGCATGGTCAATCAACATATCCGTGGTTCTCGGAACTTGTCCTTCTTCTACCAACCTATGATCTCCTGTCCTCGGTCCAGCAGAGAACGTAATAGACCAATCTTCAAATTCAAATTCATAGTATGCCACGTAGTTTGGATTCAGATCTTTCCTGTAGATTTTTCGTATTGGTCCGGTCAGTTTGCGATCACCAATATCGTCAGCATACCTACAAAAAATATTTTAAATTAAGGTCCGGTCATTATTGACTATTATTTGTGGCGGGTTGGGGGAACACGGAGGAGAACAGGGTTGGGTAAACAAAAGACACAAGAACTGCCTAAATGTGCGAGACACAAGAACCGCCTAAATGTTAG